AACTGTTTAAACTTAAAAAATACTCTGAATCAAAATGCTACATAAATAACACACAAGGAAGAAAAATCTGACATAATGCTACAAAACCATCAAGATTAAGACTGAAGCAAAGAGAAATTTCATTCACTTACATATCCAAGCAATGCAGAAGTCATCAAGAACATGAATCCAGTAAGTGTTATCTGCACCAAAAATACAGGTAGCCATTTACAAAACCACAAAAAATCACGTTGATGAAGCAGAACTAGTAAGAAAGTGCAGAAAATTAAGAGAAAGAGAAATTAAAAAAGCAATTGAGAGATAATTACCATATTTGGACTGAGAAGCATCCACATATGGAAAAGATGCACAAATGAAGGTAGACGGTTAGTAAATTCACAGTGAAGTAAACAAAGCTCAAAGAAAAAAAAATTATAATACAATATATTCAAGAAACCAACAAATGCACCTTAACTTTGAATGCAAAATAAACATAAGCTTGCTCTAAATCCAATGCCAGAAGAGTGTTATACTTTGAGATAACGATGAACTAAAGCTTAAGACACAAACACATGCAATATCAAATTTACCCGCACTATTAATGGTGGCTTCAACCAAAGGACCCAACCATAATAAGCATGTGCCTATTTCCTCCCCACAGCACAGTTCATAACTTCCTGAATCCGGCAACTATATTCAATAAGCTAGTTTTAAAGAAAGGTCAACTTCTTGAGATAGCCCCAAATGATACACGGCGATATTATAACTATAGGAGGGTGACAAAATTAGTTCAATAGTATTTTTCCTCCATTGATTGAGAATTTCCTAATTTCAATCACACTAACCACATTTAAGAACCACAATTTTTTTCTTGTTTTTTATCAACATAGAAATCAATTTCAAGTTTCAAATTGATGGAATCAAGAAAATATACACTTTGAGGGCAAATCTACTCAACTATTGTACCATAAAAAATAAAATGAAACTAAAAAGATAAGAATAAGATGAGAGAGGATACTTACGGCATCCAAAGAGGGAAAATATGCACAAATCGACTCCAGAATGACTGTAAAATGTACTTGGCCGTGTATGAGTGATCCTCGCCGCTATACTTGTATCTATGTAGCGCAGCAACACCATGAGCCCCAATATACCCCATCTTCTCTCTTTCAAATTATTAGTACTTCCAAAAATTCAGATACTTCAATACTGCACAAGCAACCTACACAACACATCAAACCTACAAATCAGTAACCAACTCTGCAAACCATCCGAATCACATAACAGTAATGACGAGAGAAAATTTATTAAATTTCCGGACAATATAAGATATCGGATAAAACTGCCCCCTTAAACCTCTTTATACAGCACCCATTTTCCCTCTATATTGTTTGAGTAAAGAGATTCCATCCAAATAGGCAGAAATCAATTAATCAATTTAGTTAAGCTCAAGTTCTATGTAGCTCCCGATCAATTATCACAACTCTCAGTAAAAACACACTTTTCTAAATGCAAACACGAAGAATATGGTTTAGCAATTGACATCAGAATATCATGGCAGAGGTATGGTTCCAAACTACTACCAACAGTAGATTAATGCGACGAATGAAATGCACTCAAGTTTCTTTACTCTACATGACGAAGCCTCCTAAAACACCTATAAACTGAAATGATATAGCCTAAAAACGGCAAACGGCTATTGCCAAGGTAAAGCATGATACATGTAGGCATAATAACCTTAATATCTCCCAGCTTCAAATTAAGTTCAAAAGTTCAACAACTATCGGAATTCAGATAAACAAGTCTCTTCTTATACTCAATTCGAGCATCAATCACACGAAACTACAGCCCGCCTAATCGCCTGTCTTTAGACTTAAGGTTTAATGATTAACACCTTAGCCAAAGTTTCCATATTTCCTCAAAGTAACTACATATTAATATATACACAAATTCGTAAATAACCCAAAAATTCAACAAATTAACGACAATTTCACTAATTTGATGCCAAATAAAATGAAACTACACATTCATCACAACACTAAGCATCAAATAAAATAGAAATTAGATTAAATTTCACAAATTCAGGCTCAAATTAATCTCACTTTTTCACAAACAATAATTCCAATGATACGAATAAAACTGTAACAATACAATAATGTAATGAGTTAAATTTTGGAATAAATTACCTTAAACTGGAGATTATAGTACGTTGAATGAAATTAATTAATGTGAAATAAGTGGAGAAGTTACTGGAAATGAAGGAGTAAGATACGATCGATTGAAATCAGGAGAGAGAAAATGATGAGTAAGCTAGAGAGAAGTTAAGTCACCGGAATTAATAAACGACGCCGTAAAATCCGCAGGAAACCACCGTTGGCGGTGGTAGTTTGAAGAGAGAGACAGTGAGTGTTCGTTGGTTGGCCCGTGCATGCGCGTATTAGTTGGGGTATGACGACAGGACTGAGGGAGACAATGATTGAATGTGTGTGCGTTTTTTTTTTTTTTTTCTCTTTTTTGAGGGAAAGTTTTTTCTTTTCTCTCGTTTATTACCACGGGAGCACGGGTACATACGGATATACAATACATTCTTAATGTTTCGGTCATTATTAAATTGAATTCCTAAAACAGTTTCAGATAAGTATCAAATTAATTTATCATAAAATTAGATCATTATGATCAGGAAAAGGAGCTGACATAAATCCCGTCAAAAAAAAAAAAAATTAAAAAAAAAGCTTCCTACATGCAATTGTAGATTAATGGATTTAACTAAGGTGTAATAACAAAAATTATTCTTGAACAAAAGTAATAGCATTTGGCCAATTTTGTTGCTAAATTTCACTGTCAACGAGTATTTAACCTTTTAAACTTGTTTTTTTTCATAATCTTTTTAAACAAGATTGATTGACATTTCCAAGGAAAGGAAATACCTCAAATAGAAACTAAAGTCTTCAATTGCAAGTGTAATCTAAATTTAAATCTCATATTGTATTTCGTTCATTAGGTTTCTCATTATTTTTAATATGTTATAAGACAATCAATAAAAGTGTTGTCTTTAACCACATCACAATTGGGCAAGCCTCGATTTCTCGTATTAAGAAATGTTAAATGTTTTACTTTTGGCAACAGTTGTAAATAATAGCAAAGTTATCAATATTTTATCGTTCTTTTTGTTGCTGACTCGCAAAAATCAATTTAATGCTTTTTTTTTCGTTAACTTCCATCATCTTCTATGTCCTTTCTTCTTTCCCCATTCTTCATTCTTCCTTTATCATCAACAATGGTGGACAATGCCAACACCACAACAAACACCATGTCCAACATCACCAACACCATAACAAATTTCAACACGAACACCACCATGAACTATGAAAAATCCTAAGAAAAATATAGAAACTAAGGGCATGGTTAACCTTGAAAGGTAAGTTTCCTCAACTTCCATTGATTTTCACGACCTCCATTGTTGCTGAATTGAAGATTTTTCAAGTTCGCATCTTAACGTGTCAATTAACAACATCAGCCCAACATTGTGTGACTAACTTATGAAATTACATTACTACCCCCCACTTCCCTGCTTAAAAAGACACAAATACCTCGTTGAGATGTTTGCTATGTTTATCAATAAGAGAAACATGAAATACCAAGAAAAGCTTGGTGAGAAACTCACCTTGTGACTTTAATGTCACGAGTTCGAGCTCCACCAATTACAAAATTCTTGGGAGTAGGGGGATTCCCTTACCTCCCCTACTCTCAAACATGACCTGCGGAGTTGGGCTGACTAAACCTGTGAGAGGTGCCGACTCAGTAAGGTCCTTCATCTTACCTAAAAAAAAAAAGAGAGAAACATGGAATTAGCCCATGACAAGCACATGCACTATGTTTGAGCCTGGCTTTGGTCTCTGGTTTGATGGTTGTACGTGTCTATAGTTGCTAGTTGCTTCACCCCAATATGTTGATTCAAGCAGGAGTAGGAGAAGCTGTATTGGATGCTATCCTTTCCTTCTTAAACTCTGGAAGTTTGCTTAGGGAGGGGGCCAATTTATCGTACTTGCTTAGTGTGTCCTCCTTTCGTCGAGTGCTCTTCCCGATTCACCGGGCTGTTAGCCCATAGTAGGAGAAATAAGAGTGTTCTTCCCTCGCCTGGGTCAGTTCACCGGGAGGATCGCCCTCCCAATTCGAAGTTTTTTCCTGGAAGCGACTCTCACCGAATCTGTTCTTGCCTTGCTCAAGTCGTTGGTCTTCAAACAAACCTCTCGTGACGTTTGGTCTTGTCTTCAACCAAATTTCTCTCAACAATCGCTTGCTAATGCTAGTAATCTTCGCCAATTTTGCTGATTCAACTTACTCTTCTCAGGAAGCTCCTAATCTCACTGGCAGTTGAATCATGTCATTTAGTTCGATCTGCTCGTGTGACGTAAAAGAGACTGACTTTATGTGGTTAGCCCTTTTGACACTCCATTTAATCTTATCATGATCCATGAATACAAAAAAAATGTAATGCAATCAAACAATGAACCTTTTTTGGGGGAAAAAAACATTATCAACTTTTGGTTACTTCGCTATCACACTTTCCACGTACATAATTTTTGTCAAAACAGTCCTGTTCATTTCACTAGTGTAAGAATATGAGATGTTATAATAATGTTAATTGCTATGAAATACACAACAAAGATATAGATGCAATATTCGATTGAATTACTATATTGTCAAAAAAAAAAAAAAAAAAAAAACTCTTGTTTACTTTGCCTTCTCAGCACTAACATTTAGATTTTTTTTTTTTTTTTTTTTTTTTTTTTTTTTTTTTTTTTTTCACAAAACAATAACCTTGTATCAAATATCAATAGTAAATACAAAGTAACATGAAACATTACAATTATACTGGCAGCCACAAGATTCGAAATAAAGATACAAATGCAATTAAAGAATATAGACTATTTTGCTAACAGAATTTACATATAATTGACTCTTTATTACTCCGCCATCTCAAACTTATTATTTTTTTTTTATCTTTTGTTAAAATAATATTGAAAAATAGAATAAATTTAGTAAAATGAGTCGATATAAATCACATATTGATTAAGCATTTAAGCCAACATGTAAAAATCACTTCGATTAGAAAAATTACCCTAGTGAAAAATTGAAATTCCAACTTTTCTAATTTAGGGTTATTAAAAAGTTAACAGTAAAACCCCCATCACTCTTTTCTTCACACTTCTTCGAAAACCGCCCACCTGCAAATGGACGAACACCAAACCTCCATTACTTAAACCTCCAACCCACCACCTTCACCATGGAACCCGAACCCGAATCCAAACCCGAATCCAAACCCGAATCCGAACCCCAAAACCCACCTCAATCTCTCTCCTCTCCACTCCCTCCACCGCCAGACCTCCCGGAAAACCAACAACCACCCTTCAAAAAACCCAAAATGTCCTCCACCACCGCAACTTCCGACGAAGAAACAACCGTCGGAAACAGACCCCTCCGTCTAAAGCGCCGGAAAGTTGCCATCTTCTTCGCTTATTGCGGGGTAGGATATCAAGGTATGCAGAAAAACCCCGGTGCAAAAACCATTGAAGGTGACCTTGAAGAAGCCCTATTCTTCGCTGGTGCAGTTCCCGAAGCTGACCGCGGGCAGCCCAAACGGTTTGATTGGGCTCGTTCTGCGAGGACTGATAAAGGGGTTAGTGCCGTCGGTCAGGTTGTTTCGGGCAGGTTTTATGTTGACCCACCTGGGTTTGTTGAAAGATTGAGCTCTCATCTTCCTCCTCAGATTAGGATTTTTGGGTATAAGAGGGTAACTCCTTCGTTTAATGCTAAGAAGTTTTGTGATAGGAGAAGGTATGTGTATTTGTTGCCGGTTTTCGCGCTTGATCGTAGCTGTCACCGCGATAGGGTGAGTGTTTTGGCGAGTTTAGGGTCGGAGAGTGAGCTTGTTAAGTGTTCTGGGTGTTCTGAGAGGGGTAGGAAGGTTATTGGGTTGATGGGTAATAGGAGGGATTGGGAGAATGGTGGGTTTGTTCAATCAGACATTTCGTCGAACAGTTGTGATGCATTATTGATTGCTGGTGAGAATGAGGGGAATGATGCTGGCGCTGGTGTGGTGGGTTGTGATGTTTCGATTCAATCAGGCATTTCGTCGAATTGTAATGAGAAAGAGAAGATTGAGAATGTAGAGTGTGATGTTGTGATAGAGAGTAAGAATGGTTCTGAAGTTTCGAAATCGGAGTCCGTGGTTGTGGAAGAGGAGTTGAGGGAGGAAAAGAAAAGTGAATTTAAGTATGGGGAAGAGGAGAGAAAGAGGTTTAATAGAATACTTAAGCATTATGAAGGAACACATAATTTTCACAATTTTACCACCAGAATTAAGCCTGAGGATCCATCAGCAAAACGTTACATCGTGTCGTTTGAAGCAAACACCACTGTTACGATAGATGGGATTGAGTTTGTGAAGTGTGAAGTTATTGGGCAGAGCTTCATGCTTCACCAGATACGGAAATTGATTGGGATGGCTGTGTCTGTAATGAGGGATTTCGTTCCTGAATCGATTTATGAGAGAGCATTTGACCAGTAAGAATCAGAAGTTTAAAGAATTTTTTGGCTATATGTTTAACCTGTGATTGAGAAATGTTCTGTTCTTTGTTTAATGTGTTTGTGTACTGAATTTTCAGGGATTTTCGCATTAATGTGCCTACTGCCCCGGAGGTTGGGTTGTACTTGGATGAATGTTTCTTCACCTCATATAACAATAAGTGGAATCACACACACGAGGAGGTATCGATGAAAGAATATGCTGAAGAAGCCGAAGAATTCAAACTGAAGTACATATATTCCCATGTAGCCCAAACTGAACTTAAGGAAGGATCTGTTGCTGTTTGGCTACACTCCCTAAATCATCGTAACTATCCTGATTTCCGCCCTTTTAGTGATGAAGTGGAGAGAGCAGCTAACAATGAAGTGGGGAGGTCAGCTGATGATCAAGTGAAGGCAGCAGCTGATGATCAAGTGAAGGGAGATGCTGATGACAAAGTGGAGAAAGCGGTTAATGATGAAGTGGAGAAAGCTACTAATGATGAAGTGAAGAGAATGACTGAGGGAGAGACCATGGATGTTCGTTCCTCTTAAAAAGATATATTGCTATACATTCTGATGTGGTAAATGAGTAACATTTTTGGTTTCCTGTATTGATTTCGTATTCTTATAGTGCAAGGCTTTGTAGGCCAACTAGATTCTGTGGTACGGTAGTAGGCTAGTAGCATAGTAGGAAGAGTTGAAATGGGGGGAGTATTTTGATCCTCCTGACCCCCTAATCAACCACACAGATGATATTGTACTTTGCGACGAATTCTGAAACTTCTGTGTTTTGTGTTATGTTCCTGCAAATGAAATGTAGTAGGAATTTAGAGGATCACATTCAAGAGGCTCTTTATCACCATCTTAAATTTTTTTAACTTGTCACTGATTTATTGCTGTTATTTGTTGAAGGGTTCATCACATGTATCCAGAAATCATCCTGAGATATGTACTGGCTGAATTGGTGTCAACTATTATCTAATAGGCCTTCTGTCCAGAGTAATTGTCATGTGAGTGGAATTGAAAGTGTTAATGATACAGATGTAATTAGCACCAATTTCTTTCATACACATCTATGGTTATCTTATGAATATTCTGAATCTGTACCTATGTTATTCAACTGGAAACTTGATAAGACAGTAGATACTTGGTGCCGTGGTATAAAGGTCAGACAAAGTTACCATTTTCATGGGAATTTTGTCATGCTTAGTCTAGTGCTTCAGAAAATGAAGTTGCAGTTGTAACTTTCGAAAACAAGGCTAATGCAGGCGTGCCTATTCCACAGCAAAAAAGGAATTTGCAGAATCACTGATGAGGTGAACCCTGCAGCCAGTGAGAGTAATAGTGTATCAGATAGCTCTGAGGAGGTGAGTTATGACTTATGAGGAAGTTCCAGATGGTCAATCCTCAGAGCCTTTGAAAGATTGTGAGCAGAAGGATATGCTACTCAAGAAAGAAAGACTCTTCTTTACCTGTCTTTGGAACAGATAGTGGGCACTGGGCAGGTATTTGTGACTATGCTGTATACTCTTATCTGTTTCAGTTGATTTTCAAGTTCTTACCCATCTGTTTCATATGATTAATCGGTTTACTCCAAAGAGTTATATGGATGCCCAGTAGTCTTAAATCACGTCCTACATTTTGTTGGTGATAGTTTAGAGGAAGGCACTGCAAGCTCTGCAATTGAACTTCAATTTAATTCTGTGAGCTGTGAAGAATTCTGAATGGGAGAAAACCGATCAACCAAACAAAGTTCAGAAGCTGAATTTTCTAAACCTGCTAGCAGATACCTGTTTGGTTTCTTAAAAGCATAAAGTTATTGGTACTTTGGAGATGCCAGATTTGCTGTTGAATTCTGTGTCTGTACTGCTATGCTATTTTCACTATTATTTTTACTTTTCCCTTCTGGCTGACTGGCTTTAGATCAAAGCGGTGCACTGGACTTGCTATCTGCTTCAATACACTACAGAAGAGATTCTTCTGTGATATTGTTGCTCCAGTTTTCTTCAATTTCTTCACAAAATAAGGCGAATGATGTTGCTCCAATTACCACCAGAAATGAGATACTGTTTCCAAAGGGAAGGGCAGTTGCTGAGAACAGAACTATGGTCCATCTCCTCGTTAAATAGACGTATGGCTCCTGAGATTGCTGAAACTGCTTAGTAAAACTGGAGGGAGTAAATCACCAACTGTTGAAGATCAGATCATTATTTTAGCAGATATTCTATCCAGTGTTTTTGGTAAGAAGCATCCTAGAAGAGGAGCACTAATTCCATTTGTTCAACCTTGACATCACATCAATTGTCTCCAGTTTCAGTCACTTCCCTCTAAATCTATAGTTACACGATTCAATTACATTTCATGCTTTAAATTAGTACATTGTCGTGTAATTTGTGATCATTGTTATCTGTATATAGGTGACAACACAGGGTTAAAGCTTTATTGAGTTTACATCTCATAATTTGAGCATGCTCATCTTTATCAATGACCCATTTGCTACAATGATCACTTGTATATATACCACATCATTTGTGATCTTGCTGATTAGATAGGAATCATAGAATGCAGTGAATTGCAGTGGGATTTACTTATTTTCTTTTTCAATTTTCCTGTACAGATGTAATTTAGGGGGTGTTTGGTTCATCAATTTGGAATGGATTGGTATGGAATCTCATACTAGAGAGGTATGGATTCCAAAACCCATACTAGTTCAAATTTGTTTGGTTTTATTGTTGGAATGGATTCCATCTTTTATTAATAGAATGGATTGTGAATCTTAGGGGGAAGGGTGGGTATGAGATTCCATGGGTATGTAGGGGAGTTAGAACACCTTAGGTATGAGATTCCATTATTAAAAACCTCAACCAAATAAAAAATTAAATGGAATGGATTCTAACTCCATTCCAACCCATTCCAAATGATCAAACCAAACGACCCCTTAGACTTAAACTTATCTATTTGGTTTAGGCAATGTCCTCTAAACCGAAATCGGCTTAACCTAGAATGGATTTACTCAACAAATTTTTTTTCTTGTTCGACTTGCCCAACTCTGTCTAACTTACAGTTGAGACAATCCGTTCAACCTTATACTAAAATCCGCCCAAACCCAAGCACGACCACTCACGACCACCACCACCACTAAAACAAAAACCTCATCATGACAATTAACAAAAGGATTCGATAAAATGAGCACATGATCCATAATTAGCATAAGTAGGTCCCAAAATTGATGATACATTTAACCAATCACCACTATAAAATATATCAAACGGTCCAAAACTTCCCACATGAATAACCATAATAATAACTACTACAAAGACTACGTATTCATAAATTAATTAAATGAAATTAAATAAAACCTAACATTTCCGCAACATCACCATCTTTCCCTACCATAGGCAACGTGTACTCTTTTTTTTTTAATTAATTCTCTTTTTTTTTTTCTGCTTTGTTTTCAGTGTTTACTCACCTTCAAACCCAAAAAAAAAAAAAAAAAAAAAAAAAAAAAAAAAAAAATCTGTTTTTGGGGGTCATATCAATTTTTTTTTCAACAATTTTGTAATTTTGTTTTTGGATAATCCAATTATTCAATATATAATTATCTCAAAAATAATTTAAATTCTTCAAAAACTGAATTTTAATTTTCATTGTCAATTGGAATAAATGGCGGCGAATCCGAAGCCGTTACAATCGCGGCCATATGAAGGGGAGGTTCCCATTGACGGAGGATATTCCGGCGAATCGGATGGTGATGATTCAATGGAAGACGACGGAGTTGATGAAGATCAGACGGTGAGGATGAGGAGAGAGAATGGAAGGATGGGTCCCAGTAGTGGTAGTAGTAGTAGCAGGACTAGTGAACTGACCTTGTCTTTTGAAGGAGAGGTCTTTGTTTTCCCTGCTATTTCCCCTGAAAAGGTACTTGCACTTATGATATTCTATTTTAGTTTTGTTTTATCTTTAAGAAATTTGTATATAAATTATAAATGTTACAATTTGATTATTTCGAGGAATTTTTGAGTTGGGTATGAACATGTTTCTATGTTGTTTTGATAACGCGGTGGTACGAAAGACGGGTTGTAAATTTGTTTTCACACGAGGAGTAAAAGTGTGTTCGGGTTATCTTTTGGTGTAGCTTTTGTTGGCAAATTAATTTTGATATTGAGGTGGTACAAAAGACGGGTTGTAAATTCGTTTTGTTAACACAACGAGTAAAAGTGTGTTTGGGGTTATCTTTTGGTGTAGCTTTTGTTGGCAAATTGATTTTGATATCGAGGTAATACAAAAGACGGTTTGTAAATTCGTTTTGTTAACACGACGAGTAAAAGTGTGTTCGGGGTTATCTTCTGGTGTAGCTTTTGTTGGTGAATTGAGTTTTTGAGTAGTGTTTGTCAAAAGCTACTGCGATTAGCGTTATGATAATTTGGAGTTGAGGAATTGAATTTTCTAATTTTACTGTTTTAACTACTAGTGGTGTCGAAGACTTACCTCAAACAAAGTACTTCGACGACTTTTCTCTAATAGTTAAGTGTGATACTCAACTAGTAGAAGAGGTCACAACTACTAAAACAACTAATTTTTTGTCCAACGTGGGGATCTGTTATACAAGCCTTCTGTTATTTGATAACAATAGTGTAGTTGTAAAAAACGAATACGTAGCTCTCCGTAATTGCTTTTGATGATAATTATTTTTTCCACTTCTAATATTATGTAGTCTTTTTGTAAATTGTTCGACGATTCTATATCTAAGGTTATTATATCAGTCAGAATTTTTTGTAAGTCTCTTGCCTAGCATTACAAAGATCAGGGAGTATAGGTGGTAAAAACGATTTGTTTTACATTTGAGGTTACTCTCTGTGGATTGATAATTGGTTTTTGTTTAGGGATTCCTTTGCCATAACCATTCGTCTTCGTTTTGCATGCGTGTGTAGTGTGATAAGTGATGTGCAGAGCTGAGTAGTGTTTCTTAGATTTCAATGTTCTGTTTGCTATTGAATTTGTGTATCAATGTTATTGTTTGTTATAAATTTAAATGTATGCTAAGTGTTATTGATTTCTCATTCTTGCTGATGTTCCTTGTATATGGTATGCTGATTATAAAATACTTTTGATAGTAAGCTTGTGTGAGACAGAAGCATTTCTTATTGGAGTTTCAAACTACAGGTCCAAGCAGTGCTCTTGCTCCTTGGAGAACGTGAGACTCATGCTGGAGTTCCAACAACTGAGGTTGCTTTTGGACAAGACAATAGGGTAATACTTTTAAAAAAAAAAAATAAAAAAAATACATACAGTAGGTGATTCTGGTGAAGCTTGTGAGAACGATATAATAATCTGTTTCCTATATAGATGTTTTGAGCTGATTTTGTAATAAATTTGTAGGCCACTGGAAGTCCTGCGAGGAAATCCATTATATCTCACCGGATAGCTTCCTTGGTTAGGTTTCGGGAGAAAAGAAAAGAGAGGTGTTTTGATAACAAAATCAGGTATACTATACGAAAGGAGGTTGCTCAAAGGTGAGATTTTTCTCTAAGTTTTCTTTTTTTTTTTTTTTTTTTTTTTTTTTCTTTTTTTTTTTTTCCAGTTTCATATTTCTCAGTCAGTTTACCAAATTGTTATGGCTTTGCTGCTGTATTCACTGTCGGGAGTTCTATTATTATCTATGCTAAGGAGGTCATAGACATGATGTAGAACTTGTGAACTCATTAGTTGTCACACCAAATGTTCAAACATATAAAGATGTATCAGCTTGTTCTGTTGGCTCTATGATCCAAGAATTTGAATTGTAGCAAATGTTTAATATGTGTGCCCGAGTCCAACCCGTGAGGTTTGTAGCTATCTTCACTCATATATAACACCACACATCACAAAGTACATGTAAACACATTCTTTACTTGAACCAACAAGGCAGACAGAAACTGTAAAAGCTGAGGTGATTACTTTTGTCAACTCAAGGGATTGCTTCTTGACACCAGTGTGCTTTATTTCTCTTTTCTTTTTCTAGGATGCACCGGAAGAATGGCCAATTTGCATCTTTGAGAGAAGGTTCAGCATCTTCCAATTTGGAAGCTAATAAGAACTTAGTGGTTGGTAGAAGCCTGGGACCAGAAACTGTGTGAGTCCTTGTTAATTTAATCCCCCCTTCTCCCATATGCACAATGTGCTGAAGGATAGTAATTAATTTATCTCCGAATTTCTGCTTATTCCCTTTCTAATTTTCTCTATAATTTTCAGTTCAAACAAGTGTCAGCATTGTGGTATTAGTGAAAATGATACACCAGCAATGCGACGCGGACCAGCTGGTCCAAGAACCTTGTGCAATGCTTGCGGACTGATGTGGGCCAACAAGGTGTGAATTCATAATATTGTATTTAAAATGTTTTAGAGTTAAGATTCTTGAGAGAGATAAAATGTTATAATATCAGCATATATGCATTGAGCTTTGCGTAATTAAAATAATGTGCTGTGGGATAGAGGAAACCATTTGTGTAGGATTCTGTCTGTGTAAAATGGTCTATGTAGTCTTAAGTTTCTGATACCAAACTTTTTTTAAAGTCAAGTATAATTAAAACAAGTCTTGAATTTTGCTGAATGATATAAAATGCAAGTTCACAAGACAGTGAAGGTTATGGAAGTTAAACAGGACGCCAGGACTGCAGGATGCAGTTAGATATATAGATGAATATGGGCAAAATTGGTTTAGTTTGCTAAAATCTGCTTCACTCATGCACTTGCGTTGAGGTTTTGATCTTGAGATGGACCTTGCAATACTAGGGTTATGATCTAGTTTTTGCTGTTCCTGGTCAGAAATCTGTAAATTTTGTATGACATAGTCTCTTCACATCAAAGATTGACTGGTACGTGAGACTTTATCTGAGAACTTGGATATATTAGCAAGTAGATGTCACATGAGGACAATCTCTCTACACCCCTCATTGTGTTAGTTGTTCCGCTAACTACCTTTCTTATTGATGTTTGTGAACTATAAAGGGGCACACCTTGAGATATGATCATATGAGGCTCTGCATGAACATGGTCTGCTGTTATGCTGTATAATTCTATGTTAACTTTTTCTCAGGACTCATGTCTTACCTGTGCTTTCGCTAAGTACTGAAAGATGCAGCATGTTTATCAACTTTCGATTTTACCTGTACATTGTTATTGTAGTGTGGGTTCGTCACTCATTTAGTTGCTAATATGTGTAGGGAACACTCAGAAATTTAAGTAAAGGAAGAAGAAGTTTCATACTGGATCAAGCTGAACCTGTAAGTACCCAGCACATGATTTATTTAATTTATTTCTTCTCGGGGATAGCTTGAGGGTTGTATGGGATATTTTTCCGCCCTTGCTTTGCTGGTACAGTGGTACGCTACAAAGTTATGATATTTCACCAGAATAATTGTGGACATAATTAGAGATCTCACTATTATCTCTTGAAGTAGTAGTAACTCATTGCTTAGTAGCCTTTATGAATATAGCTGAACCCATGTGTAACTCATTAGATCTGAAACTATTTTTTGTAAGGTGAAAAGAACAAGGGCTAAAATTTTTCACTTTAATCGCAGGGAACCCCGGTTGATAGTAAACCTTCCATTGTTGAAGAAAATTCACTTGCCAACCCTTGTAAGCTTGTATGTTCTCTGTGTGTCACTTGTACAAGATTGGTAGTGGTTCTGTTCCTTATGTCACTGATTTACATGCAGAGAACCCCAAAGGGTGATTCCAGTGCTGTAACTATAGCCTATGTCAATACGTTTGCCAAACCCCACAAGGAGGTAATTGATACCTACGAATTATTGTGCATGCTTATTGCTTTTATATCTGTCCAATTTGCCTCAGTACTTTTACATACAGTATTGCATGGTTGCTTGAAATCCCTCAATTTGCATGCGATGGGTTACTTTGGACATTACATTGATCATAGCTTGGCATCATCCAGAATTCTCATAGGATAGCAGATGCAACTAGCATGCTAACAGAGATAGCTGCGGATTCGTCTGGCAACTTTGACAAAGAAGTATAGTATCATTTAATATCCTTCTAGCTCAAGTGGTTGTGGATTTAACTTCGCTTTCTTGAGTAGTTTGCACTTAGTGATTATTGCTCAATTTTAAAGTGAACGTTTGCAGGATACTATGGCTGATCTTGATGATAGTTCTGAGACAGACGTGGATATTCCTACCAACAGTGATTAGTAGGTATTCATCAAGTACCTTTATTACACAGTTGGTTGTTGTAACTGATGCAGATAATTGAACATTATCTTGTCTTTTTTAAATTGACTGATGTTTGAATTCGGATTATGTATATGTCCTTCTTAACAGATACACAGTGTAAATGCCTCACAAAAGAGACTGAACTTGAAATGAAATCTAGTTGGGAACATCAAGAGCATGCACTGATGCTGATTACAGTGTCAATCGATAAGACTAGATGTTAATGCTGGTTAGCATCAGATTATTGGAATGATTGCTGCTATAGATTTAGAATTAAGGCCTCATGAGTGAGATGTCGCTTTTTGTCTAGCTATTGCTCAAGTTGTTGCTTGTGTGATGTACTGAGTCTCAACTGATGGGAATTCACCATTTCTTCAAAAAAAATAAAAAAAAAATAAAAAAAATTGGGAATTCACCATGAGGCAATTGTAATCTTGTAATGTTGAAGACAATGTTTGTGTGAGATGATAAAATCAGTCACTGAGGTTATATTGTGCTCGGGATTATGGAAGTACTGATCTCTAATAATTCACGATTTCATGGTTAAATCTCTGTGTGTGTGTGAAAGAGAGAGCATGAAAATTTTTATTGTCATTTCTCCACAATTTCGCAAAACCAACAAAATAAAGCATCATTACTTTAGGTCTTTGTTGAGCCTCTAAGAGCACGGTATATAGAGTCTATATTAATATAGGTCTTAAACATTTTCTCGTAAAATTTTACAAAGTTAGTTGACAATCATTAAAAATAGGAAATTTTGACTTTTGCTACCACAAAAAACCTTGAGTTTCATTTTTACTACCCCTTAAATTTTTTTTTTTTTATTTTACTACCACCTAAAAACACCTTTGTCAAAATTTGCTACCACTTAACGGAATCCGTTAAGATTCCGTTAAATTCATTCAAAAAAAAAAAAAAAAATTAAAATGTAAAAAAAAAAAAAAAAAAAAACCCAACCACCCTTAATTGCCCCCCCTCCCGTCAGCCACCCTCCCCCCTCCCCCCTGCCGGCGGCCGGCGACCAAAACTTGGGCCAACGTCGGCAAGCCACCCCAATCCCTTTCCCCCACCAACGCCGCCCCACCTACGCAACCACCCCAATCCCTTTCCCCCACCTACGCAGCCACCCCCCTCGCTTTTCCCCCTCTTGCAGCTCCCCCATCTCCTAACCCCAGCCCCTGGCAACTCCCCCATCTCCTGCCACCCCACCCACATCAACCACCTGCCGGACCACCATCACCCGCAGCCACTATTCCTGCCGGCGAACCTCACCAAGCCCCAACCCTTGCTTGTAACCCCACCTAGCCCCCACGTCGCCGCTTCCACATGAAATCCCACCCACTTCGCCGCTTCCTCACAAAACCCCTACCCACGTCGCCGTTTCCTCACGAAACCCCCACTTCGCCGCTTCCTCACAAAACCCCTACCCACGTCGCCGTTTCCTCACGAAACCCCCACTTCGCCGCTTCCTCCGCTCAATCGAAGCTCACCATCGCCAACAACCCCTAAACCCAAATCCACCATCGCTGAACCCAAATCGAAGGTCGCCATTGCCGAAAACTCAACCCAGAACCACCCACGATCCCAACCCAGACCGTACCAGAAACCAAACCACCAGCCCCTCAAACCAGAGAGAAGGGGGGTGGGGTTTCGGGGTGGTGGAGGAAGGGGGGTGGGGTTTCACGGATTAGGGGTTTGGGCTAGGGTGGTGGTGCGACGGGGAAAGGGGAGGGGAAGGGGTGGGGATCCGCCAAGGGGGATGACTGGCTGGTGGTTGGAAGAAGAGATGCAGGCTAGGTGGTGGCTGTGGGGTGGAGGGGGAGTGGCAGGGGAAGGGGATTGGTGGCTGGGGAAGGAGGAGAGAGAGGTAGGGGAAGGGGATTGGTGGTTGGGGAAGGAGGAAAGAGAGGGGCAGGGGTGAAGTGGGGCCCACAAACGGCAAAACTAACAGCTTCCGTCAACTGGTAGCGAATTTTAACAAAGGTGTTTTTAGGTGGTAGTAAAATAAAATAAAAAATTTAAGGGTAGCAAAAATGAAACTCAAGGTTTTTTGTGGTAGCAAAAGTCAAAATTTTCTTAAAAATATAAAGTATACTCACTTTGCATCTGAATAAGTGCATCACTTAATTTTAACTTTTTTTTTTGAAAGAAATTTTGACTTAATTATCTACTAATACATAAAAATCAAATTATTTTATTAGACTTGTTACAATGTATATTTTCATAATATCAAATTTTTTATAGGTTAAAGTTATACAAGTATACAAATTTAAAGATACTAATGGTCAAATATCGTCCTTAATTATGTGCTAGGGAGTATGAAGTAAGTTCCACATCCCAACATAATATTCAAAAGCAACATGGTAAATTGATAGTGAGAATCATCTGTGCAAGAGATTTTGCAAGAGCAGGAATCCAGGACTATCAAAGAATTCCCCCATTTGACACGGTTATTAGCCGAAGGAGAACTTGAATTTCTGCTAGAGTGCTGGTTGCTTTCAATGCAAATATGTACTTTGTAGAATGTATGTTATTCATGACAATGAAGCCTTGAAAACCAACCAAAACTAAATGCTACAACCACTCTATTCAAAGGGGAAGAAGGATGAAACCAACATTGAACTCATTGAGAAACGAGTATGTTATTTGAAGAAAGTTCATGACAATGAACAATCTCAAAAATCATCTGAAACTAAATGCCACAGCTAAATCACAAGGGAAGAGGGGTTTCACTTTAACATTTTACTCATTGAGAACTAAATCATATTCCCTTTAATGATTCACTTTACATAGTAGTAATTCCAGTAAAAATAAACTAGAGAGACTAAGTATAAATTAAGGAAAAGGTGGTGCAAAATTTTGTTTCTATACAATCTCATCTCTTTTTTCCTCAATTTGACTGAGTATTTAGTCTTGTTTGTAAAATTTACAGGAGAACAGGTGACTTCAAAATTGTACCTACAAAATCACGGTGCCATTCATGGCTTGGAAGCTGCTGAACCCAGAGTGTTGAACAGTATATTTAAGTGCTCTGCGAGACACTCTCAGTGTAGGGCGAGAAAGTTTCAAGTTACTCCAGATATACGTGTCTCAAGCTGGCAATGAATTCATCGAAATCGTATACGAGACCCAGCCGGATGTGTTAATCTGAATGCACTGAAGTTGTACCACATAATGAATAGAGTGGCATCAGAAGAAACTGTTCAATCAGGCTCTCAAAGAATTTCACTCCTATAAAGTATCTGTCAAACCTTAATGTGGTTGTTTTTCGTAGTCACGGAAATCTTCATAAGGTGAGGATTCACTTGAAGAATCACTTTCATATATTGTGGTTTCCTTTGGAGATGAAGGAAGTGAATCTTTTTGTTGAATAGGACCTGGTAGAAAACAGTTATCAGTACAACAATATATATACAGCAAAATGATATTCCTCAGCCAATTTCAGAAAGACCATGAACATGGTCTAAAGGCCAAATAGGGTATATTACTATCATTATCATATCTGTAAGTTCTCACTTAAGTTAAAGTCACTGTCAGTCCGTCACTATTGTAACAGTGAAAGGAAGATGGCTAGGATGTCCTAAAAAGCTGCTTTTTGCATTGTTACAGCCAACCTTTCGATATAGTACTCTTGATTCTCCTTCCACTCATTGAAGCTCGATAACTTTGACTATGTATAAAATTAGAATTTAAATACGCATTTGTTGAATTTATACTACATATCAAAAAGATGCTTTCACAAAAAAAAAAAAAAAAAAAAAAAAAAAAAAAAAAAAAAATCATTTTAGTTTTAGTGATACACAGAAAACTCCACAAATGCTAAAAATCAAGTAGACTATTAGTTTGAAATGAAGTACTTGCATTCTCAAGGTCCCAAAAAAAGAATAAGCCTCAAGCATATAACATTTATTCAAGTATGAGGGTGCACAGGCTATTAGAGAGATTAGGAGTGGACCAACCTTTTCTAGAGCGGAATTTCTTAGTATGTCGCCTAATCAGCTTCTTAGCTTTTGTTATTGTTAGTTGCCTTGCAAAAGGTGAGAACTCCACATCACTTTCACTCCATTCCCCATTATATTCATTATCTGCATCACCCCTCATGGTGCGTAGCACAAACTTTTTGGCTTTCCGGCGCTGAGTATTAAACAAGCCCTTTATAGAAGTAACAAAACCATCACCTGCTCCATCTGCAGGAAGCTTCGGAAAGGCCACTGGGAACTGCTCAGATTTACCTGCCTGACCACTATCACTGTCACTGAGGTTAAGATCATCAGGGATGCCAGGTCCTGTAATTTCCCTGTGGCTTTGTGCTTTGTCTTTGAACTTTTTTCCCTGCAAATTGGAGAGAGATAATAATTAACTGTGCCTAAGACAAATTCCAATTATTTACGGTCAGTAGGTCAAACATTAAAAAAAAAATAACCTAAAACATATTTCCTCTGTTTAGAAATAGTTTCACCATTTTGACTTTCACATTTGCCAACACAACTTTGACCATAAATATTTTAGTTGTCTATTAGCAATCTTTTTTTTTTTTGTTTTTTTTTAAGTTGATATTTTGAAAATATATACTTCGTATTTAAAATACATTTAGATCAATCCAATAACTTTTTAAATTATAATATTTTATTTTTATCGATTAGTAAAAAGACGGGGTCAAAGTTAAACAAGTAAATAGTGAACGAAGGTAGTATTCAAGGGCTGCTCAAGTAGAAAGATTGGGTTGTGCATTTAAGCCTACTAAACATAGAGTAGGCGAAGATTAGTTTCAGATTCATCCTCATCAATCACATCAGGACCCTTATGATTAACAGTAAAACTTGTAGAGTCCAGTATCATTACAAAGAGAAACCAGGAACAAATAAGATGTGGAGAATTACAAAGCGATTTTATAAGAACCAAGAAATGGACAAAAGGTATATAGCTCTAATGTTACCTGCATTCCAGTCACTGACTTCAAAACTCCCCAAATTATATGTTTCTTTACTCTTGAAAAGAGTCTCCTCCAAGTTCCGGTAAATTCAACACGGTGAAATTGGTCCATGAGTAATCTCAAATCACTCACAGCAAATCTTGATCCCTCATAAGTGACCAGTAGCTCGACCTACACATTTAAAATTATGATGCATCATTTTTCAGGAGATGCATAGATTCTTTAAGAAGTATCACAATCAAACAAAACTTACTGACCTGACTTATCTTGATATTGTGAAATTCCATCATTTTTCTGGGCCTTGATCTTTTATCATCATTAGACTTCCCTACCTTCTTTTCTTCATGAGATGCACGACCCAATTTGATCTGTTTGGGGTCTTTTGCTTTACCTTTAGAAGAGTCATCTTGTTGTTCGCTTGTTGGTAGAGGCCCACTTTTGGAGTTAGATGTGCTTGAAGAATGAAGTTGTAATACAAGTTCATCAGCAATTGATTCTGCAATATTTTCTTCCCATGTTTTGTCAAACGAAGATGTTCTCCGCAGCTCTGATGCTGTACCAGTATTTGATTTGTTGTGTTTTGATGCCTGTGCAAAAAACCAAGATATCTTTGAT